GAAAAGGTCAAGCAAATTTAAAGTATAGAAATTAAATCAATGATGAAGAATATAACAAGATAAAATAATTTAATTAATATGCAACAGTGATCTACACAATTTAAAGACATAATCTTCTACATTTAGTCTGTGTACACACTCGTCACCTCGTGTACACGACTTTCAAAGCATCAGAATTATCATATCAATGCCAATCCAAAGGAAAAATTTTCCCACACAAAGTTAGACAAGTCACTTACCTCGACTTGTGTAATTCTTTACTCTGATATGCCCTTGCCTCGTGAATTAGCCTCCGAAAGCCTCGTATCTAGTCACAATTAATTCGATTCAGCCAATACAAATCATAGGAACTTATTCCATATGAAAATATTAATTTTTCAACAAAATCCAAAATTTGACTCGAAAATCGCCTGTGGGGCTCGCGTCTCGGAATCCGACGAAACTCACAAAATCCGACAACCCATTCAATTACGAGTTCAACCATACTAATTTCACTCAAATCCGACTCTGAATCGATATTCAAATCCCCAAAAATTGTTTTATGAAATTTCTACAATTTCCCCCAAATTTCTATTTCAAAATATTGATTAAATGATGAAAACAATGATATATTCATGTATGTTAACCAAATTTGAGTTAGAATCACTTACCCTGATAATTTCCTGAAAGTCCCGCGAAAAATTACCACAAACCGAGCTCCCAAAGTCCAAAAATAAAATAATACCCTAACCCTCGGCTATATAGTACCAAGTCTGCTCTCCCAATGTGCGGTCCGCACATTTTCAAGTTCTGCCACCGCAGTCCAAATTGTGCGGCCGCACTTCACAGTGATAGCTTACCATGCTTCAGTAAAATACCCATAATTTTCTATATAAATGTCCAAATGATTAATGTTATATCTTTCTGGAAACTAGATTTAAAGGGCTACAATTTTTATTTTTGAATCATCTCCAAATTTGTTGTAGATTAAACGATATAAGCCTCCGAAGTCTGACCATCGAACCTGTAGAACCCCTGAAGTGTGGCCGCACTCAAAATTATGCGGTCCGCACTTCTCCTCTGAAGTGCGGCCGCACTCAAAATTATGCGGTCCGCACTTTTCTAAAAGTTCTAGAATAACATTAGAGTGCTGAAATGCTCGGACTCGCTCAAAACTCACCCCGAAACTCACCGAGCCACTCGGGATCCCATTCAAATAGACTAACAAGTCCTAAAACATCATACTGACTTAGTCGAAACCTGAAATCACATCAAATAACGCTAAAAGTACGAATCACACCCCAATTCAAGCCTAATGAAACTAAAATTTTCAACTTCTACATTCGATGCCGAAAACCTATCAATTCAATTCCGATTGATCTCAAATTTTGCACACAAGTCATAAATGACATAATAGAGCTATAAAAATTTTCAGAATCGGATTTCGACCTCGATATCAAAAAGTTAACTCCCGGTCAAACTTTCCAAAAATTTAACTTTCGTCATTTCAAGCTTAATTCCACTACGGACTTCCAAATAATTTTCTCGGCACGCTCCTAAGTCCAGAATCACCATACAGAGCTATTGGAATCATCAAAATTCTATTCCGGGGTTGTTTTCACATAAGTCAACATCCGGTCAACCTTTTCAAGTTAAGCTTTCAACCTTGAGACTAAGTTTTTGAATTCATTCCGAAATCTCTCCGGACCCGAACCGACTACCCCGACAAGTCACATAACAGTTATAAAACACATAATGAACAGTAAATAGAGGAACGAGGCTACATTTTTTTTTAAACGACTGGTCGGGTCGTTACAAATACTCAAAACAAATCAAAAGCAGTAAGTTAGGGGGTCACCCCAACTTATTACTTTTTGGCTTATAAATTCCTTATGTTTGTCCAAGTAATTTACCCTACTATCCCTTTTACTTTTTCTAAAACCCAAAATTACCTTTCCCTTACTAATTAAATCCATGTACCATCTAATCGTTGTTTTCAATCTTTCTGCTGTCATATTCCAAAATTTGTCAATTTCGTTGATGTCTTAAACGTAAGCCAACATTAGCTTTATAAATAAAATATTTGACAGATTCTAATATTTTGTAAATATTATTCTTTTAGTTTTTGTTTTGGTTCCATAACATTAAAAAAAATTGATGTTGAATCCATTTTTTTAATTGGTGAAACTATATTTTAAATCAAAATCTTTCAATGAGTTTACATGTTACCCTAGAATTTGAAGTTACGAGCGAGAAATTATTTTTTTGATCAAATAATTAATTATTGCATGTTATTTAAATAAATAATTTATATTTAGGTAATCAGTTTAAATTAAAAGTGAAATAAATTATAATTTACTTGTATATGCATCAATTTAGAATAAAATATTATAATAATCATTATTTTTATAATGTTAACAATTTTTAGGATATTTCAGTCATTTTAACAGAAACAAGTGCTTATTTGCCAAACATTTCAACAACTTTTTTTCAGCATCAACACTTTTATTCAAACACGTAACTGCTTATTTATAAAATAAGTTCAAGCACTTTAAAAGCCACTTTTTTAAGCCAATCCAAACGGGCTCTAACTGTCCTGAACTTATAAGGAGCTAATTAGAAATTGAGGACTAATTGTGCTGAATTTTTTAGCTTCTAACTTTAAGTTTAGGACTAAGTGTCCTAAATGTTTGAGCTTCTAACTTTAAGTTCAGGACTAACTGTTCTGAACTTATAAATAACTAATTAGGAATTGAGGACTAACTGTCCTGAATGTTTGAGCATCTAACTTTAAGTTCAGGACTAATTGTTCCGAACTTACAAGCTGCTAATTAGGAATTGATGACTGATTGTCCTAAATTTTTTATCTTTTAACCTTCTAACTTTAAGTTTAGGACTCACTGTCCTAAATTTTTGAGTTTCTAACTTTAAGTTAATGACTAAATGTTCTGAACTTATAAGCAGCTAATTAGGAATTGAGGACTAACTATCCTAAATTTTTGAGCTTTCTAACTTTGATATTATTTTTAATTTTCTGGGGAAAAAATGATATTTATGCTGAGGATAATGGTGTGAGAAAGAATCCTTACAAACTGTACACTCAAAAAATCAGTAGCAAAATGTTCTTCCTTGAGCTTTCAAACAGTAACTATGTACTTGATAATAAGGTTTGATAACTTACAAGGCATTTTTTTTAATAAATAGAAGGTTCTAATTCATGACACTCTGTCCTTAATATTTACACTGCACATATGAAGTTAAGGACATGCTGTCCTTAAGTTTATCAATAAAAGGTTCTAATTCAGGACACTTGTCCGTAATATTTACACTGCTCTCATGAATTTAAGGACATAATGTCCTAAAGTTTATTAATCGAAGGTACTAATTCAAGACACACTTTGAACTTAATATTTACACAAAACTCATGAACTTAAGGACACGATGTCCTAAAGTTTAGCAACAACACTCATGAACTTAAGGACACGATATCCTAAAGTTTATCAATAGAAGATGCTAATTCGTACCACACTTTGAACTTAATATTTATACAACACTCGTCAACTTAAGGACACGATGTCCTACAGTTTATTAATAGAAGGTGCTAATTCAAGACACACTTCAAACTTAATATTACATAATGAAGTTTTAAGTTTGTTCTATCATCAAATTAACAGATATTTATACCAAAAATAAATTTAGAATATTTATTATTACTAAAAAAAAGAATCGAATACATATTGTCCCCAAACACACAAAAGCATATAGAGATATTTGAAAACTTTCCCTAGATTAGATGCACACAATTGATTAAGCTAAAAAATTGATTAGAACTTATTGTTTTTTGGATAATCTTCTGTGATTTTATGGTGAAATAGGAGGAGAACGCAGGTGTTTATGGAGAAAGCTGAGCGTAGGGCGTTTATGGAGAAAACTGAGCGCATTTACGAAGGTTAGACTTATTATAAGTACGGAAAAGGTCCAAATATGCCCTTGTACTATACGAAATTGAGCACATTTGCCCTTCATTAATACTTTAGCTCAAAAATGCCCTTACCGTCACATAGTTGGTCCATATATGCCCTTATAGTCACACAGTTGGCCCATATATGCCTTTTCGAAACAGAATCCACCAAAACTAATTAGCTCTTTCGTTAGTTGTATTAAAGTATAACAAACACTATTTCCTTTTTATTAGTACATTTTTTTCTTTACATTTCTCTTTTCTTTCTTCTATTTTATTTTCTTCTCTTTTTTTTTTCTTTTTCTTTCTCCCTTATCCAATTTCCTCCGTTGCTAATGTCTTCTCCATTTTCGTCACCAATTTCACCTGACAAAACTCATGAATTCCAATTACTAAGAAAATTCTCCCATAAGGTAATCAAGTTCCAATTTCACTAGCCCTCTAAATAAACGAAATTAAATTGATCCAAAAATTATGGTTTAAACTTTAAAATAATAAAAACATCTCAACCTTTAACAATACTCAAAAGACCAAAATATTTAAATTATTTCCAGAAAGATAATTTAATGATTAAAAGCCAGAGTTCAAGTTCTAGTGTTGTAAATTTGAGTTGTTAGTCTTTTTTCATCTTTTTTCAGCAGGACATTTTCTATTTTTTTATTAACTATGTAAATTAAGAGTGTACATGGACTGGGTTGGTTCGGTTTTTATCAAAACCAAACCAAACCAATTATATCAGTTTGGATTGGTTCGGGTTTGTTGGATTTTTTGGATTTTTTGTTACATAAATATTATTTCAATCTTACTTTGTTAAATTTTTTATAACTAAATATATGTTCAGTAAAAATTAAAAAATTGACAAACATATGATCTATTAAAATAGTGTTTATAATACACTTTAATACAATTAACGAAAGAACTAATTAGTTTGGGTGTATTCCGTTTCGAAAAGGGCATATATGATTCTAAGGGACCATCTATGCGACACTAAGGGTATTCTTGAGGTAAAGTATTAATTAAGGTCAAATGTGCTCAATTACACAGTGTTATTTTCGTCCGGTCAGGCAACCCGACATTTGGCCCGCCAATTTCAAACGACGTCGGAGTTACTGTATCTGGTTCTCCGTCCAATCTCTTCTCCGGCGACATCTTACTGTAAGTAATATATTCTTAACAGTCACATCTAAGTTCAGAGGTTGTTCTTTATTACGTGAAAGATACATTTTTAAGCAGTTTTTTTTTTTTGCTCTTGTTAGAAGTGATATTCACTCGAAAACGTGCAAATTGTCTTGTGTGTTTCATATATTTCATTTTCTATTTGCTTTTGCAGAATGAAAGTATTGGAATGAAGAGCCGAATGAAGCGGAGTGGATATAGAGGATTGCAACTAGGTCGGGATTGATGTGTAGTTAGTTGAATGATTCATTGATGCGTACATTGTCCAATTGCTTATGCAAATTGTTTTCACAATGATAAAAAGGTTAATTTCAATCCGGAGCTATGTCAATCACAGCGTACATCCTTCTTTCAACAATGAACAGTCAAGTAATGATCATATAATCTTCTTATGTAAGCAAAAGTTATTCAAACAAGCACTAGAGGCATTCGAGTTGTTACAAAGGAACACATCTTACAATTTGTATCCAAGCACGTATGCTCAGCTAGTATCCGCGTGCTCGTCTCTTAGATCCCTGCAGTATGCAAGAAAGGTTCATAGTCATATATTATCATCCAATTATCAACCAGACATGATTTTTGAAAATCATTTGTTGAATATGTATGGTAAATGTGGGTCGTTGAGCGATGCTCGAAAGGTGTTTGATGAAATGCTCGAACGAAATTTGGTCTCTTGGACTTCGATAATTGCTGGGTACTCGCAGAATTGTCAGGAGAATGAAGCTGTAGATCTTTACTTTCGAATGCGACAGTGTGGTCTTACACCGGACCAGTTTACATTTGGTAGCGTAATCAAAGCGTGCTCGAATATGAATCAGGTGGAGTTAGGGAAGCTGTTGCACGGGCATGTCATTAAATCAGAACATGGTTCCCACCTTATTGCTCAGAATGCACTGATTGCGATGTATACAAAGTTTAGTCGAATTAATGAGGCATTGGCAGTGTTCTTGCGTATTAAATCGAAGGATTTAATTTCATGGAGCTCAATGGTTGCTGGATATTCACAGCTTGGCTACGAATTAGAAGCTTTGTCCTGCTTCAGGGAGATGCTTAGTCGGGGAATCTACAAACTGAATGAATTCGTTTTTGGAAGCGTCTTTAGTGCCTGTCGAAGTCTTGCACAAGCAGAATATGGAAGACAAATACATGGTTTAAGTCTAAAATTTGGGCTCGGTTTTGATGCTTTTGTTGGTTGTGCTGTTACTGACATGTATGCCAGATGTGCATGGTTGCATTCTGCAAGAACTGCATTCTACCAAATAGGAAACCCTGATCTTGTATCCTGGAATGCTCTGATTGCGGGATTTGCATACGGAGGTGATCCCGAGGAAGCTATATCTCTCTTTTCTCAAATGAGAACTTTGAGGCTGACCCCAGATGATGTCACAATTCGTTCTTTACTTTGTGCCTTTGTAAGTCCATCTGCTCTCTTTCTAGGAAAGCAAGTGCACTGCTATGTTATTAAGAGTGGCTTTGATTTAGAGATTTCCGTCTCTAATACATTACTTTCAATGTATGCCAACTGCTCAGATCTTCCAGATGCATATAAAATATTCAATGAGATACAAAAGAAGGCAGATTTAGTTTCGTGGAATGCCATTCTTACCGCTTTTCTACAACAGAGTGAGTCTGGAGAAGTCTTCTCATTATTTAAAATGATGATTCTTTCTTCTAATAAGCCTGATCATATTACATTAGTTAATATGCTTGGGGCTTCTGGAAAAGTAGCCTCTTTGGAAGTAGGAGACCAAGTTTGTTGCTATGCCATGAAAAATGGGCTAATTGAAGATATATGTGTCATGAATGCTTTAATTGACATGTATGTGAAATGTGGAAATATGACAAGCTCTAGGAAGCTCTTCGATAGTATGGATAACCCTGATGCGGTCTCATGGAGCAGTTTAATAGTGGGGTATGCTCAGTTTGGATACGGAGAAGAAGCTCTAGATCTCTTCCAGAAGATGAGATATTTAGCTGTCAAGCCAAACCAAGTTACCTTCGTCGGGGTTTTGACTGCTTGTAGTCATGTTGGACGAGTAAAAGAAGGGTGGCTGTTGTTCAGAGCCATGGAAACGGAGTTTGGTATTGTACCAACTAGAGAGCATTGTTGCTGTGTGGTTGACATGCTTGCCCGAGCTGGCTGCATAGAAGAAGCAGAAGTTTTTATCAATCAAATGGAACTTGATCCTGATATTGTGATGTGGAAAACTTTGTTAGCTGCCTGTAAGACACGTAACAATCTTGATGTGGGCAAACGAGCCGCAAAGAAAATTTTGGAGATTGATCCCTCGAATTCTGCTGCACATGTGTTACTCTGTAACATTTTTGCTTCTACTGGAAGTTGGAAGGATGTTGCATCACTGAGGGGTCTGATTAGACAAAAAGGTGTCAAAAAGGTTCCAGGTCAAAGCTGGATTGAAGTCAAGGACCGGATCCATGTCTTCTTGGCTGAGGACTGTATGCACCCGGAAAGGGACAGAATATACTCCATGCTAGATGAACTGTGGCTACAGATGCTGGATGACGACTATTTGCCCCTTCATATTTAGGAGTAAAACATTTGGACGAGATGAGTAATGGATATACACTTCTTGCAATGTCCACATTGTGGAGTTGCACCCTTACAAAACCACATTTTACTTATGCAGGTGTTTTGAGTTGGTTTTATTAAATATTAGGAGATCTGGAAAGTGAAGATCCGAAAAATTTGCGACAAGCTTGACTAGAGAAACAGGGAAGCAGCAAATATTCTTGTGAAATGGTCAAAGCAGTCTGCTGTTTTCCAAAGAACAAGTTGCCATTGTTTCATATAGAGATGTAGTTCAATTATCAGATTGCAGATTAACTGAAGACACCACGGAAGATGGTTGCCAATTTGGAATAGAGAAAGAGATGAAGATAGCAACAGGGAGAAAAGTGGAATTGCGATCAAACGTTAGAACTTAGATCTCAGGAAATATAAGACGGCTCTACTGCTTTTAAGGAGTGAATGAATCCTTGTTTAAGGAAGCTATTTTACCGCTCCTCGAAACTTTGGTATATTAGAAAACCAAGGAGCCACTTCAGGATTTGATCAGTAGAGTTCTGAGAGTGTTCACATCAAGAACATCACTAGTAAGAGCAGAATCATGTAAGGGCCTTGCACTGTATGAAGGTCACAGCAAAAGCTAGTCATGGGTAGGTCCACTCCTTTCTCACTAAATGGTCACCATGTTGAGGAAGAAGCATCTCCTGAGGCAGCCTTTCAGGCAAAACTCTTGTGAAATTTGTTGATTCTTTGTTTACTGACTGAAAAAAAAGGCCAAGAGACACTTCCAATAGTTGTAGTCTTCCTAGACCACCTAAGGAATTGATGCAGTGTACCACCTTAAGAAACAGATTAAACGAATCACGAGCTGTAAGAACTCTCAGGACCATTAGCTCCCCTGTGTTGAGGAAGTAAAAGCTTATTTCCACAGAGAAGCAACTCTGAGGTACTTGATACCCAATGGGGCTTTCTCATATGCAGCCCCTTATGGTTGGAAATATGCTATTGCTCCTCAATATAGGTATAGCAGAAAGGCATCAAGGGAAGGCCATGCTCACCGTATTCTCAAGCACAAATGGACACCTCATTACTGTTTGGTAAGAGATGCAGCACCTATATTGCCTGGAGGTGTACAAATCAAAGCTGATGTCTTCTCTTTGGTTAGACTCGTAGTTAATTGTTGTGGTTTGGAGGTTCACTAAATTGTAAGTGAAACTTTGGACCATTTGCTCTAAGAGAGTGGTTAATGCGTAAATTTTAGAAGAAATTGCATCTTTGGGCCTACTTTCATGGTCATCCATAAGAAACAGATTTTTCCAGTATGACATCACATGGTCTGTAAAGAGTAGGACGAGGGGCACTGCGGATTAACTTCAGAAAATTCATTGCAAACAGAAGGATATTAGAACTAGTTGCTCAAACTGTTTCGAAGCTTTGGCCTTAGACTGAAATGACCTCAGGTGGCTATCTGGGTTAATGCATGTGCATCCATATGACTTTTGTGAGTTTTTGCCCAACATGTTCTTTGTTTCTGGTGGAAATGGCTCATCAACCTGTGTAAGGATGTTATTATAGATGTAATACATCAGTTCTAGATTTCCAGGACCCTTGTTTATCTCAAAGTATCTCAACTATTTTTTTTGATAACCGTAGTGTCCGGACTAGCTTACGTGCACCTCAACTAATTACACGGGATACCTGCTGCCTTCCACCAGCAATAGGGCTTGGACAGATGGGAAGAAATTACCTAGTGTTTTTTGTCTCCGCTGGGAGTTGAACCTAAGACCTCATGGTTCTAACCTATTTCATTGACCGCTAGGCCACACCCTTGGGTGCCAAAGTATTTGAAATGGAATGGATACTTACATATTGTAATTTTGTGGTGCATATTAATGTGAAGTTTCTAATCTAAGTATTCTAATGTGACTATAACACTTAAAAATAAAGAAACACTGATCTTCTGAGGTTCCAATTCACCAGATGACATGCTTTTTTATCTTTTACTAAAACACTACACTTCAACAGATATAAACATCGATTGATCAATCTCTAAATTGGTTATCCTACTTCAAAAGAACATTTGTAGTTCAACTCAACATCCTCATGCCCCTCTGGTTGGATTTACATTCTGTTAGCTCGCTTTGCTATTACATTGCCTTGAAATGACTTGAGTGACTCCTCGAGTAAAGGAGTTCTGAGATTTTCGATAGATTCCCTACTTGGCACGCTAACTCTTTTCCTTCTCAGAGTTGAGCATGATGGTTCATCGACCTGATTATTGAGAACAAAAGAATATATTGTTAGTATAACATTCATGTCAGCAGAAAGACCTTGGTTGAAGATAGGATGTGAAGAATGGTAAAATAATAAGATTTAAGAAACCTAAAATCTTTAATAGATGACCATTAATTATCTTCTTGGCAGAAATTCTGGTTTATCGTAAAAAAGGTGAACAAATAAACTCAACATCCCCCGAGTCAAGAACTTGAGAATAACCAATGTCCTGTTCAGGTATCTCGATGGAAATTCCCAAATGATATTTTCCATCGAAATGGTAGTCTTGCCTATTCCAGCGGTCCTCAGTACAAGAGTTGGCGCTAGATCTTTTTAATAGAATTTTTTCTCTATATAATGAAGAGAAATTTTTAACTATCTGAAAGTATATATTCTACTAGTAATAATGTGTAAGTTGACTGAGTATTAAAGTGTTAATGGCAAAAATCATTTATACTTGGATGGTTTTCTGAGCTTTTACCTTGTACTCATCTGTCAATACTTTTCCTGCATTTTCTGCAATCTCTGATACTTTGGAGGAATGACTGTCTTTCATTTGTTTCATATCCTCAACACAAGGATGAATAAATGAGTAAATCTTCTCACATTCATTATGATCAAGTTTCAGCAAACCTGCAGCAATTTCAACTTTATGATGCTGTGGCAATAAGAGTCGAGAATGTCCTCTTGGCTCTTGCAACATCAGAGGAAGAAAAACTACTATTTATTCACAGGCTACATACTTTCCATAGCAGAAAGAAGATTCCTCTTGGAAATAGCTGTTTCTTCAAGTATAGAAGTCACTGTAGAGGAAAACTGAGTGCTGGTCTTTCCATTTGATTCCATTGCACTCCTGAAGATATGAAGGTAAAAAGGAAAAAGGAAATAAGGTTCTCCGATAAGATAGTAGTTGATTCATGAAATGATAACTTACTTCATAATGCAATCAATTGAGTTGATATTTCTTGTTTGTTGTCTAAGAAGAGATTCTTCGGCATTTCTCCATCCATCTTGGACCCCCTTTGATTTTGCCAAGCTGAAATTTAAGATGAAAAATTTAAATGCTTTCTCAAGGTATACAATCCAAAAGCAAAATATAATTCTTATAAATGTATATCATCATAAACAAACTCAACCAGCATTCGACGTGCCCTGCTAGACTACTTTTCCAAAACTCCAATCTAGTTGAATCCTCGATATGGTGGGCTTGTGTGCTTTCAACGTAGCTTGTCCATTCTTCATAGGCAGAATTAGTGCAACCTTGTATGTTTGAGAACTCAGCATTTAGATTTCTGGTTTTGATACTAGAGCACTCTCTAAGGCCATTTACTGCTGTTTGAACCTAAAGAAAAGGAAAAATGGAAGTGTTTGATAATACTCTGCCTGAAATTCCATGCTTTTAGGAATAAGAAAATCCATGAAAGGGCTTTGATACTAGTGTTAAGTTCCATTCACATTATAAATCTTTATGAAATAGCATTCTCAAGCTGTGATTATTTAGTTTAAATTCTAAAACCATAAAAGGTATGTAGAAGTTGCAATGAAGAAGCACATACCAGCCTTTTCTTCCTAGTATTAGAAGCTGACATAAGCTCTGCAACTTTTTCTATCAGTTGTCGTTCTTCACTTGCAGCCAGCTCCTAAAAGAATTAATTCAAAGGGTGAAAAGAAGGATCGATCTCTTCATTTCTAAGGTGGATCCAGAACAGCAAAAAAATACCTCAAACTTCTCTTCAAGGGTGCAGAGTTGCTGATGATTAATTGTTTGCGATTTTTCATCCATTAGTCTCAATTTTGAAATGTATGAATTTAATGTCTTGAAAAAGTTGAGGAGAACTTCAGAGGTTAATTGAATTCCTTGATATCTTCTTGTTTGATTCTGACAGATGGAGAAAGAATAAACAAAGTTAGCACAAAAGCTACTATATTAAAAAAAAAAAAAGATTCTGGTAGCATGCTTATATACCTGTTGTTCCTTTTGCACAAAAGCACTTATTTTCACCTCAAGCTCCGTAATGTTACCTTGCAGACCGTTGAGTATAGCATTAACATCGGCAGAAATCTTTGCAACAAACTGCACTAGGAATCAGGAAAAATTGAGTAATGAAAGGGTGTAAAGGAAGTAACACTAACTGAAGGAAGGATCTTTACTTACAACCATAAAGAAAGAAGAATGCTTTGATACTTCTGAATGCACTTCACTAAAAGCTAACTGAGAGTTTTCATTAAGTTCTTGGGCCGAAATAGCTAAATTCTGAATATCAGAGCTATACTTGTCTTTCAGCTTCTGGAGCTGACTCTTTAACTCATCTGTACCCTGCCGTTAAATTCAAGAAGGATTGGTACTGTTTGCAGGTCGCATATAATGAAAGTACCATATGTCAAAGATTTTTTACTATACCCTTCTTTTAGTAGCTAAGAAGGATTGTGTATCTTCTAATATTACATTCAATTGCTGCTCTTGTTTGGTTACAGAAACTGCAGTGTTTCTCTTTAAACTTTCAAGCTGCTGAGTTAATTTGTTGCGGAAATTTTGCACGAGAATTTTGTTTCTCTCCTCCCTATTGTTGGTTTTCTCTATTTTATAAAAAACATATGTTAGAAGAAGAAAGATGCTAGCCAGATAAAGACCATAAGAAATAGTAAGACGAACCAGTTTTGGCGAACAAGGTGGATATCTCTGATTCTGCATTCTCTACTTCAGCTCGAAGCTCAAGTGCTTTGTCAGTCATTGCCTTTTCTAAATGACGAGAGGTAAAATTTGCAGATTTCAGTACTTTCAAGAATGAACTTTAAGATACCAATTTGCTATTAATGGACATATCTTTAGTCCTACATGGTGTAGGATTCAGGAAAACTTTGATTCATCTTTGTATTTCCATGAGATGCTTGGGGGACACATTACAGAGTTTAACTCACCAGATTTAATGAGATTAGATACCAGATGATCCTTCTCTTGAACCGTCTCTTTAGCTCGACTATTTTGAGCTTGTAGATCATTGAAAGCTTGTTCAGCTTCCTTGAGTTCTCTCTGCCATAAAACAGAGGCTGGAAAGTTTAGTTATCTTCAACTTTCTAGCTATCTTGGTAATAAAAAAAGAGATATGGGAAGTAACTTGTTCAAGTAACATTCCACCTGAGTTCTCTCAAGTTTTTTGGTTAAATCTGCTGTCAGTTGTCGCTGATAATCGTAAAGATCCTGAAGCTCTCTCAGTTTCTGCTCAGAAACTGACTTCTCAATGATCTTGCAATAAATTAGGACTTGCATAAGCTGCCTACACGACAGACCAGGTGATACTTACCTTATTTTTGGACTCTAAATCAAGTTCTAAGAACTTCAGTCTCTCAAATATTGCCTAAAAGGGGAAAAAGAAAAGCATTTGAGCAATTAACTTTCTTCCTATTTTACAGATCAAGAGTTGCACTCCAGATATATTGATGGGAAAAGCACCTTGTGAGCTGCCTCTTCACTCAAGTAGCGGTCTTGTGGTATGTAGATTCCATTCTTCTCCCTCGTTGCGTGTAATTCTACAGAGAAAAGAAGAATGCCTACTGTTATATCACCACATAAATTAATTATTTCTCAAAGTACAGATCTCATTATAACCTTGCTTTAGGCGGTCCATCTCCACATACAGATCTTTGATTAGTGCAGATTTGGTTACTTTCTGGTTGACCTGGAAATAGTACTTGAGGATGACATTAATGGTGGATAACATTATTCAAAAACAAATTTTTCCTAAGAATAAAATTAACAACCTCTGGCCTGTTTTTAATTTGCTTGGCACGGTTAGCATATTCAAGAGTACTGAGAGTCTCTTCCAAGCACTGAATGGACGGTGAAACTGTGGCAATTATGCATGTCTTTGTTTTTCCTCCTAATGAATCCCTCAGTAACCTTGTCAACTTGCTATCCCTGATATCCCGAACACTCATTTTCAACAGTTGCTTCTGTATTATAACATCTATTAGAATGTTTATATAATGATTAAACGAGTTTTATACCTGTATGGAACATGTCCAGAGTGATCAACCAAAGCATTGATGACCCTGCCCAAGGTAAGCAAGCTCTTATTTATCTCACCAGCCTCTCTTGCTCTTCCCTGGATTTTAGAGAAGTAAATTCCATTACAACCCTCAAATCTCACTGTAATAAAGTGAAAGATTTAACTTGTATACGTTGACAGCATAAAGATTTTTTCTACTGTCAGTGTACTTTAACTTGTTATAATCGGTTATAATCGGTTGTCTGCTTTATTTTTATGTAACTAGTTCCACTTATAATGGGCAGTTAGTTGTAGTTATCTTTCAGGTGACTTGATAGTGCATTT